TAAATATGATTGTCTGGCAAAAGATTTTGAGAATATAGAAACTACAAGTGAGATTGAAATGAAAGCAAGCTCTGAGATCCTTTAGTTACTGAACAACTGGAAAACAATGGCATGGCCAGCTGAAGGTAATCCCCTTTTGATGGAACAACACCCTCTGCTTGCAGACAGGCCCAAGGGTCAGAGCAGACCCTACAGCTTGGCAGAGGGGCCCAAAGAGGAGTTTTCAGGGTTTAAAATGTAACACAGTGTGGTAATGTAGTGATTCTTATAGGCTGTATGGAAATGCTATAGGATTTGTGTCTTGGACTAGATTGGTTAGTGAGAATCAGAATATTCAGCACAGAAGAAGATTTATTGTATTGTAAAGGGAACTTTGCTCTCTTACCCCTCTCATCCTCTCTCTCATCTCTTTCCCTCTCTCAGTCCTGCTCTGAGCTGTGGCTGGCAGCTCCCAGCAGGGCCCTGCCCCCAGGCCCTTTGCAATAACCCCCAAGTTCCTGACCTGGCTGCAGAGATCTCTCCTGTCCGTCTGTCCTGACTGTCCTACCCCCTGCTGCTCCTGCAGTGGGGTAACTGCTTTCACTGGGGCTGAGGCACACACCTGCCCCACCTGTCCCAGCAGAGGCGGCGCCTTTTGCATTTTGGAATAACCCTAAATTCCCTCAGGATAAGAACTTGACTGCAGGAAATCCTCACATCCTCCTAAGCAGTGGAAAAGCTTCTTAAAGACCATCACTGCCCTTGTCTCAATAAAGCTTTGCTGCAGCTTCCCTGCACACTGAGCAAACCATTCCAAAAAGCACCATCATCAGTCCTTCATGCCAAAGCTTTGTGTGTTGTTTTTTCTTTTGAAGAATGAAAGGCACTTTGGAAAAATTAAACAAACAGAAACCACGCTGCAGTTGCACAGCCCCTCTTGTAGCTGCTGAGCTGAATTTCTTGCTGAATAAAAGAGGGAAAAAGTCAAAGTAAACCCCGTGTGCTCAGTCAGGCTCCCATCTCCCACACAGCTGAATTCCTTTGACAGCTTCTCCCCAGATTTTTTGATGCCCTCCCTCCCACTCCATTTCCCAGGAACAGCCCCAAACACACCTGTAAGGTGCTGGTTAAAAAGTTGTCCTGGGAGACAATGTCTACAAAAAAATCTGCTGGGATCTCGTTGAGCTGGTGATAGAGCACAGAAATGAGGTTGATGTAAAGGTCCTGGTACTTCCCCATGGCCTCCTCTGAGCGGCACAGGATGTTCAGGAGCCTCTTCCAGTGCTCAAAGGCATCATACACATTCCCAATCAGGAAACAGATGAAGGCAAACTGCAACTCAGCTGTGTGGGTTCAGAGAAGGGAAACAAAACAAAACATGTAAGACTAAACAGATATCCTGGGAATGTGTCCTCCCCAAAGCTCTGCAAATGGTTTCTAAACTCTGGCTTGGCTTTTGCAAAGGTCATTCATACCTGAAGCACTGACCCTGTGCTGCTCTTCAGCTGGAGCAAAGCAAAGCAGAATGGGGCAGGTCACCTGTAACTGTGGTTATCAGCACTGCAGGGGGACTCTACAGACAGCAAACAACACCAAACAACAAGGCAGACCCTGCTGCTACTCTGTGAGTGTTCAGCCTGCCTGTGCTGAGTGTCCAGCACCACATGGGACTGCAAACAGCACTGTCCTGGAATTCTGGGAGAGGCCAGCAGTACCTCAACGAGTGTGTCTGCCTTGTTGAATTAAGAGCCAGGGTTCATCACACTGGATGCTTGGTATCAGCTGCTTTGCCACCATTCCCTAAGGTAATTTGTTCTCTCTATATCCTACAGTTGTCTTTGGTAATTTTGAAAAAGAATAAATTGTATAACGTTAATGTAGAAAAAATGAAAGAAGGGACAAACAAAGGCTTATTCCAAACCTGGGTTCCAGCTGGCAGGGCTTCTCCCTCCATCCTACAACACAACAAAACCCTGCTCCAGGACCTCCACAAACCCAGCATTTATCTGTATCACAGGTTGCAAAACAGGCTGGGGAGCAGTTGATCTCTGGGGTGTGTGGTGTCCCCACAGCAGGGCTGGCACAGCCTGGGCACTGCCACTGTCCCCAGCAGAACATGGAGCACATGGAGCTGGGTCAGGAGGGGCCGGGCCCTGCAGCAGGAACCAGGCCCACAGCCCCTGCCCAGCCTAACAGGAACAAGGGGTTTGGGGTGCCCATCTCCATTCGGTGCTCCCAGGACTCTGTAAGGTCCTGGGAGGTTCCTCAAGAGGTTCCCTGAACAGGGAAGGTGTCAGACACCAGGGCCACCTCTGATGGCTGCTTTTGACTTCAACTGGGGCAATCTGGGCTGCAGCACCATGTTCCCACACCAGAGTCACAGAACAGAATGACAGAATATCCTGAGTCAGGACCCACAGGATCACCCAGCCCAGCTCCATCCCTGCACAGATCCCCCAACAGCCCCACCCTGGGCATCCCTGGCAGTGCTGTCCCAATGCTCCTCGAGCTCTGGCAGCCTCGGGGCCGTGCCCATTCCCTGGGGAGCCTGGGCAGTGCCAGCACCCTCTGGGGAAGAGCCTTTTCCTAATATCCAACCTAAATCTCCCCTGACAGCTCCAGCCGTTCCCTCGGGTGCTCTCCCTGGTCACACAGAAGGGAGATGGCAGCTGCCCCTGGGGAGGAGCTGCAGCTCTGGCCTCAGCCTCCTCCAGGCCATGGGAACGGCCCCTATGGCTGCTAAAAGCTCCACAAACTTCTGTCCCGCACTGAAGAGGCCCCTCGGTGCGCCAGAGAGCGGGCACAGGCTGCACCCCGAACACAAAATGCCATTTCCCGGGCGGGGCTCACCGAGCAGGCCCAGCGGGCGGCCGGGGTAGCGCTGCTCCATCACCCGCTGCAGGGCGTAGCTCAGGTCCATGCTGTGCCGGGTGATCTCCTCGGGGCTGGCCCCGTCGGGGAAGGCCTGCCGGGGCAGCTCGGAGAAGCGGATCTGGGTGCCGGCCCGCGGCCGCATGCGGGGCAGCCGGGCCAGGCCCTCGGCGTAGCTGCGGCACTCGGCGCCCAGCGGCGGCCGGCGCTGCCCGGCGCGGTCCCGCGTGTGCCGCCCCGCCGCCTCGGGCAGCACCTCGGCGAAGGCGCAGATCTGGCCGCTCTCGGGCTGCAGCTCCTCGGCCGCCGCCTCGCTGATGAAGTTGCTCAGCGACACCCACTTCTTCAGCGTCTCGTAGGGGTAGGGCCCCAGGAAGGGGTCCAGCTCCCGCAGGCTGTCCCGCAGCGCCTCGCCCTGCTCGGGCGGCTCGGGCCGCACGGCCTCGCCCGCGGGGTCCCAGCGCAGCACCCGCACCTCCCGGGGCCGCAGGCTGAGGAAGCGGCCAGAGCGCGGCCCCGCGTCCCGCCCGCCGCCGCCGGCCGCGCTGCAGTGCACGAAGTGCAGCCCCGGCGGCACCATCTTCACACCGCGGAACCGCGGCCCCACGGCCCACGCGCTGTAGTCGATGCCGAATTCGGTGCCCTCGGGCGCGTCCAGCACCACCACGGCCGCGCCCTCGAAGAAGAGCTGCCGGGCCAGCTCGGGGTCCGAGCGCAGGGCCGCCATCGCACCGAGCAGCCCTGCCCGGATATCCGGGCCCGGCGGTTCCGGGCACGGCGGCGGGAGGAGCCTCCGCCCGCCCGGCCCTGGGACCGCACCCGGGCGGGGCTGGGCTGGGCTGGGCTGCGCTGCTCGGGCTGCGCCGCGGCGGTGCCGGGAGAACAGCGGGAAGTACCCCCCGATCGCCCCGGCTCGGTCCCTGTCCCCTCCACTCATCCCTGGCTGGCTCCGTGTCCCCTCCGCCCATCCCCGGCTCGGTCCCTGCTCGCTCCGCTCATCCCCGGCTCGCTCCCTGTCCCCTCCGCCCATCCCCGGCTCGGTCCCTGTCCCCTCTGTCCATCCCCGGCTCGGTCCCTGTCCCCTCTGTCCATCCCCAGCCCCGGCCCGGCGCTGCTCCCCTCTGCCTCTCCGTGGCTGGCGGCTGCTCCCCGCTGACCCCTTGTCCCCAAATCTGACCCGCAGCCCCCCCAGCTGCCTCCTGCCATTCCCCTGGGCCCCCGCGCTTCCAGCCCCCAGCGGGACAGACGGACAAGAGCCGTCCCTGGGACTAATGAACCGAGAGGCCCCCCCGGACAGACACACGGGGACCCTCACTGTGACACACAGACACTGTCCCAGCATCACGTCCTCCCTTCCAGGACAGCAGACAGGCTCGGGGTCCCCAGAGAGGGGCAGTTCCCAGCCCTCCCCGCATCCCGAGCATTCTCACAAGCACCTTCGCTGCCCCGCGCTGTGTCCCAGGCTCAGTACCTGCCACGAGGCCGCTCCCGGCTCCGGCAGCCGCGGTTCCCGACCTGGCAACATCTTCATCTGCCTGAGAACTGCGTCCAGCTCTGGGCTCTGCAGCCCTAGAGGGGTGTGGAGATGTTGGAGTCCGGAGGCGGCCATGGAGATGCTCCCAGGGCTGGAGCCCTCTGCTCTGGGACAGGCTGGGAGAGCTGGGGGTGCTCACCTGGACGAGGCTCCAGGGAGAGCTCAGAGCCCCTTCCAGTGCCTGGAGGGGCTCCAGGAGAGCTGGAGAGGGACTGGGGACCAGGGATGGAGGGACAGGACACAGGGAATGGCTTCCCAGTGCCAGAGGGTGGGGATGGATGGGTTATTGGGAGGGAATTGTTCCCTGGGAGGGTGGGCAGGCTCTGGCACAGGGTGCCCAGAGCAGCTGTGGCTGCCCCTGGATCCCTGGCAGTGTCCAAGGCCAGGCTGGATGGGGCATCCTGGTCTAGTCAAAGGTGTCCCTGTCCATGGCAGGGGACGGAACAGGATGAGGTTTATATTCCCTTCCAGCCCAAGCCATTCTGGGATTCTGTGATTTCTATGATCTTCTCTTTAGACAAAGCCTGGCATTTCCATGTGCAGTGCTCCTGTTGCAAGGTTCACCCTTCCCTTCTCCATCTTCTCAGTAAGGAAACAGTCCACTGAGGCCCCTGGGTGATTTAGCATCAAACACATTTATTTCACTTTTATTGAATACAAGAACAGTGAGCACACACGCATACACCACCGAGCACTGAAAAGGAGTATGACCAAAGGGGGAGAGGGAGAACAAGGGAAGAGAAAAGGAGAGTTAGTGAAGGAACAACAGAGCGTTGCAGTTGGTTGGTAAGGTGCTTCTCAAATAAAAATAAATATTATTATTATTATTATTGTTACTGTTATTATTACTCATGCAATCGCAGGCCAGGTTCAGAATGAATTTGTGGGATTGGGTAAAAACAGGCACTCATGTCTCCCACCCCTTTCCACAGAAAAGGCCCCTGGAAGAAAACAAGCAGTGGCCAGCTATCCGAAACAGTGTGGTGATGGGCAGGCTGGGGCTGAGCAGCAGTAAGCCACACCTTGCCAAGAAAACAAGCAGTGAGCTTTTTTTCTTTCCTTTTTTTGTTTTTTTTTTTTAAGAAAAAAAAAGGTTTTGACAGTGCCACCCATGAACACGCTGCGGGAGCCAGGGGCTGCTCACTGCAAACAGAACTCACGGCAGCCCAAGCACAGGGAGCCTCACTCTGTAAAGCTGCTCAATCCCAGGTCAGCCTTCGCTTTCCAGGCTGGGCACCACGCTGAAAGCATCTCTGCAGGCTCACAGCAGCCTCGGGTGGGCTGTGGAGCTGCCTCAGCCAGGTGGGCTCCAACCCTGAACTGTGCCATGGTGAACACCCTCCACCACCCCTGGCAGTGCCTCTGCTGGGCACGGCCAGCTTGGGTGCATTGGGAAAACAAACGAGACAAAAGGAGCCTCTTTGCAGCTGCCCTAAGTGCTGTGAGGCTGGGGCTGTGCTCTCTGGAGGTGCATGGCTGGCACCTGGGCATGGGCACTGGCACTGGCGGCAGCCCCTGTGCTCTTGCCTTCCAGGCCTCTCTGCCAGAGAACAGCCTCACTGGGGAGCAGCTGCCAGGGAGCAGCTCCCTGCTGGGCAGTGCAGGTGGGAGCAGGGGCTGCCCACGGCATCCTCATGGCTCAGGAGCTCCTGCTCGGGCATCCTGTGGGGCCTGGCAGGGCCTGGCAGAGCACACCCAGTCCTGGGCACAGCTTGTGTCAGGGGTGGGAGACTAAAGGCAAAATGGTGCAGAATCATGGGCCCTTCTGTTTCTGCAGGAGCTAGAGACAATTCCAAGAAGGAAACCCATTTCTTTCCTTTCCTTTCTGGTTTTGGTTGGGAGCCTACCTGAACTGCCTGGTTCACAGTGTTCGGGGCCCTGGGCTCGGCCCACGATCCCCTTCCAAAGGCAGCCCTGGAGGAGCCTCGGCTGAAGGCTGAGCTGGGAGCAGCTCCACTGACACCTCCTGGGCTCTCCCATCCAGCCTGGGACGCTGGGGACACTGCAGGGATGGGCACAGCACACTCCCTGCACTGCCCATCCCATGGCAGACAGGGGAGCACTGCCACGGCCCTGCCAGCGCTGTCCCCAGCCCTTTGCCATCACACCCCTGGCAGTGTAGGCAGGGCACAAACAGCCCCTCTGCCTTTGACCCTACTACAAAACTCAAGTACCTCCATTATTGGGATCCAGAAACAAAGCAAACCCACCCCACCCAGGGGCAGGGCTCCTGAAGGGGAGCCCCGAGCCCTGTGGCTCCCACCTCGCTCCCAGCTGACCCCGTGGCTCTGGGGCTGGGAGCCCCTCCTGCCTACGGCTCTTGGAGCTGGAGCCTTCCCTGCCCCTCCAGGTGATGCTGCCCCTCCAAACCTCACCACCACACACTGCACATCACCAGCAGGACACTCCTGTCCCTGTCCCTCTCCCCTTCCCCCTCAGCCAGCAGCAGCCAAAACCTTTCCCATTCCTTCCTGCAGGACTCAGAGTCCCACAGGTGATCTAAGAGTCTCCAAGTACACCAACCACAGTCAATCCAAGAGTTAACCTTTAAAAATGTTGGCATTGTCTGTACCAGCACTGTTGAATTATTTCAGCATTGTTCCCTCCCTCCCCCTCTGTTATATAGAATAATATACAGAACTGAAATGCACATCCATATGAAACCCCACAGGCTGCTCATTAGAGATGAGAAACCATGTACATATCATTTGCTTTGTTTGAAATGAAACCCATTCCTAAATACCTTCAGAGAACAAGAGGTTGGACAAGTGCACAGAGAAGATAAGGAAGGGAAGGGGAAGAGTTAACAGAACCCCCAAAAAATCAGCATGGAATGAGGAGAAGGGCGAAACGACACTTGTGAATTGGAAAATAACTCTAAGGTCATAACTTGAATGTTTTTCTCTCTTCTTTCCAGAGGTGGGGAATGGTTTTGCTTCTGCTTGTGGTTTTTTACTTCAGTTTGCTTACTTGCTTTGTTGCAAAGCAGTTTTCCTTTCCATTCAGTGTGCAACAAATGAACTCATGATTGTGTGTCCTTTCATGTAACATGCAAGATGGTGGCTTATTGTATTGTTACCAAGATTATTGTTATTATTATGACTTTTTAAATCTGATTTGATCACCAATCCAGGAAATTCTTCAATTTATCTGCAGAGGGTTGGCTTTGTTTATTGGTGGTGTTGTTTACTATTCATTTCCAGCATATAGCAGCAGTGCAAGGATGCATTTTGTTTCCTGTTTATATATATATATATATATATGTATGTATGTATATATATATATAATATATTTGCTATTCCTTTTTTAAAAATTTTTGTCTCTTGCCATGAACATTGCAGCCAGGATGTCTATGTCTTGCTGATAAATCCAGCATGAAGGCTCCTTCTCCCCTGTTCTCCAGGTTGGAATACAGATGTTGGCTTCCAGGAACATGTTGGTCAAGATTCCTGTGCAAGGCAGATGGAAAGGACCAAGTCATGGAGTGCCAGTCCATGGAGGCTCCTCTTTGGATGAGGCCACTGGATAGAAACTTTGCAAACACTTGGGGCCACAGTTTGCATTTAATTAGCAGGAACTCTGATAATTAGCAGGAATTCAGGCACTGGCCTGGTGCTGGTGCATGAAGGACATGAGGGGAGCTGTCGCTCCCTCACTTTAAGCCATTCAACTAAAACTGGCTGGATCCTATGGGATGCAGGAATGTCTGGACTCGTTTGTACTGTGGGACAGGGTGAGGCAGCTCCACCAGCCTCTCATGGCCTCCCCAGCTGCACTGCTGGTCACTTTTCCAGGCTTTAAAGCTGCCAATCAGAACTTTCATATATAAAGAAATGGGAAATCCCAGTTCTGAGGAGCCTCTCCAAAGGCACCTGCAGCCAAAACTGTTCCCTCTCCTCTCCACCTCTGTCCCCACTGCTCCCACACAGGGCTCTGGTGGCTGTGCCAACCCAGAGGAGCTGCATCTCCTGGCTGCCAGGGGGAATGGGGTCCAAGAGGGGGTTTAGGGTGGGGCAGGACTCCCCAAGCCCTAGAGAAGTGTCTGGGACTGTGACAGCTTTGGGGTGTCTGCAGGGAGGTGCAAACCTTGAGTGCTGCTGCCTACACCTGTGTGTGTACAAAAACTAAACCTGGGCATCTGAGTGGGACTGAAAGCCTGTACAGTTTTTGGAAAGAAAATATAATTTCTGCCAACATTGTTCTGATACTTTGGCTTTGCATAACCTGTAGCCAAGTGCCTCAGCCTACCCAAAAACCCGAGATCCCTCATTCCCTTCCCACCCCAGGGGGATGAGCAGGTCCTTTTCTTTTTACATCAAATGCCTCTGAGCCCTGTGCTCGGGGCAGGGTGACATCCACAGCACTGCTTTCAGTGCCATGGTAGTGGCTTCCTGACCACAACCAGGTGGCTGAGCCCAGAGCCACCATGCCACCATCTGTGGGGACCAGACACTGTGACCTGTTACAGTGCCATTACCAGCAGGTGTAAATCACACCTGGCAGCTTCTCCACCTACCTGAGGTTTCTTGTCCCTTTCCTCTGGAGAGGGCTCTGTTTCTCTGTACACCACAGCTTTGGTTACCAGCATGTCAGGGTGCTGGAGTTTTGCCTCTTTGATTGCTAAAGCCAGTGCCTGGAAAGCAGAAGGGTGAGAGAGAGCATTTATCCTCCCTCTCCTGCAATCAGGCATCCTGACTGCAGCCAGAAAGCAGCTGAGCAGCATTCCAGGGAGCAGAGTGGGATTCCAGAAGGATAGGAATGCAGGGGTTCAGAGCTGAACCCACAGCAGCCTGGCAGAAGAGGCTGAAGCCCAGCATGGGAATCCAGCATGATTGGGAATTCATCCATGATTCGGAGCCCCCACGAGCTGCCTTTCTCTGCTGTTTTTCTGTGCAGATGTGCTACTGAAACCTGGGCAGAGGAAAACACTAGAAAAATCTACAGGAATTATCAAGTTCATTATTATAATTCTAAAAATTATTTCAGAGCCTTTTGATTACTTTATCTCTTTATTTTCTTTTCTTAAGTAATGAATCCCTGTGAGGCCACAGGAGAGTGACCTTGTGGACCTAAAGACTTATGTCAGTCTGTTTTTTCATCCCAAAAATGTGTCACTTTTTGTCCTCTGACACTGGGCACCGTCACCTGGAGAGGCTCAATCTGTAGTGAGATTGTGCTGGAAGAGAGAGGTGACCTGGGTCACTTTGGAGTATTTCAACAGAGAAAGGACACCTAGAATGTGTTTATGACCACAAAAAAAGTGATGCCATCATTCTGTTCTGCACTGGGATGTGGCCTTTGCCACGGCTTCGTGGTGGGAGATGGCCTGAGGGTCACTGCACCCGTGGGAACCCGCCCTGCTGGACAGGTCTGGGGCCTCGGCGCTCAGTTTTTGGCCAAAAGCAGTAAACAGGTTCAGCCAGAAGCAGAAACATGCAGTGCTGCATCCAGGGACAGCCAGAATTGGCAAAGGCAGAGCATCCTGCTCCTACCTGGTCCTGGTCCACATCTTCATCTCCCGTGATGATGATGCGCTTCTCTATCCGGGTCTCGGAGAACCCTCCCTTCACAGTCTGCATGAGGACAAGGAGAGCTCTCACCCCTGCCCCAGCAGCCAGCTCCAGGCAGGGGAGGGAACTCTGCCACAGGAGCAGGAACAGCACCAGCATCCCCTCAGAACTGCCCTGTAATCCAGCAGAGCTCCCACTGCCCTTGCTCAGGGAGAAGGGAGGCACACAGCAGCTCCAGGGGAAGGAGAGGGGCTGGGGCAGGTGCCAAGCAGCCTCCTGCAGCTCAGCTCCCTCACAGAGCTGCTGCTGTCTTTACAGAACCACAGAATCACTGAGGCTGGCAAAGCTCTCTGAGATCACCAGGCCCAACTGTTCCCCCAGCACTGCCAAGGCCACCACTGACCATGTCCCCAAGTGCCACAGCTACACATCTTTGAAACCCCTCCAGAGATGGGACTCCACCACTGTCACAGACATGTTTTATGAAAAATCCTTTCCTTAGGATTTTTCCTCCTGAGAAGCTGAGAAGCGTCAGGAACAAAATGTAACCAATGGTTATCTGCTGCTGTGGAATGCAACAGGTGCATCTGGGATTGGTCTCATGTGGTTGTTTCTCATTAATGGCCAATCACAGTCAGCTGGCTTCGACTCTGTCCAAGACACAAGCCTTTGTTATTGATTCTTTCTTTTTCTATTCTTAGCCAGCCTTCTGATGAAATCCTTTCTTCTATTCTTTTAGTATAGTTTTAATGTAATATATATCATAAAATAACAAAACAAGTCTTCTGAAACATGGAGTCAGATCCTCATCTCTTCTTTCATCTTAGGACCCCTGTGAACATGGTCACACACCAGTGCCCTGGGCAGCCTGTGCCAGTGCCTGGCCACCCTTCCTGTGAGGAAATTTTCCCTTTAATCCAATCTAAACCTCCCCTGGTGCAACTTGAGGCCATTTCCTCCCATCCTGTCCCTTGTTCCCTGGAAGAAAAGCGTGTATTTAATCTGGGGATGCAACAGCCATGGGTGAGACCCTCTGCTGCAGCCTCATCTCCTTCATTTCCCACCCCTGGCCTGCCCCTGGCTGAATGCTCACCCCTGGCTGTGCCTGCCTGCTGTGGTCACAGCTGGCTGCATGGCACAGGCAGCACCCAGGGCACAGAGCACCCTGTGGGATTGCCATTCCATGGGACAGCACACAGCTTTTGGCTTGTTGCAAGGAGAGGGGCCCTTTCTGCTGTACCTAGCACAACATAAATCCACCCATCCCTTAATTCCAGTGGCCTTCAGGAAGCCCTGGAGCTGCTCTCACCTTGGTGACGTGGGTGGTGGTGGAGGTGGAGAGTGTTTCTGCAGTGGCACTGAATATGCTGGTGAGCACCTCCTTGCCAGCGGAGCCGCCCGAGATCTGCGGGACACGAGCAGGGGGACATGATGGTCAGGGGACATCCTGAGAGCCTCAGCCCAGTCCCCAGCCAGCCTGGACCTCCCTCTGGGATGTACCCCCTCAGCCCAGCAGGGAGGGGAGAGCACAGCAAGGGAAAAAGGCAATGAGTCATGCTTCCAACTGCACCAAGGGCTTGGGGGGCCAGGGAGAGGTTTCCACAGGTATCCAGGCCCACAGCAGCTGCAGAGGGCAGAGGCTCTCATGGCTGCTTTTGGCTCTTCCCTACCCACCCTCAGAGCACAGAGTTCTCAGGCTGCCTCTGTCTCTGTCCATCCCACTTTGCATGCCAAGGGCCGGGAAGGCTGGGAAGGATGCACTGGTACCCCAGCCCCAGTGCTGCTCTCCCTGCAGAACAAAGGATGAGCCTGGGGCAGCACCTGGTGTTTGGCCAGACTGGACTCCATCAAAACAAAGGGGTGGAGTAAGAAGTCCCTCTCCTGAGGAAGGGCTGTGTTGGGCAGGATGGTTGGTGGCACCACCTCCACTGGGAGTCAGGAGACTTTGTGGATGGCCTTGGGTGACCCCACAGGACACCCAGAGCTAAATGCATCTCAGCCCAATGCACCAGGGACTGGGGTATTTTTGGGAATTATCCTCCTCAGGCAGATGCTCAAGGTATGGATCTGGCATAGGAAAAAGCCCACAGGCTGGGGCCTCCTGACTTCTTGCTCCCCAACCTTCTGAGCATCCTTCTTCCCTTCCCAGTACCAACATATCAGCCAGGTGCCAGTGCTGGGAACACAGCAGGGGGCCCAGTGGGACCAATCCCACCCACTTCCAGCCCCACAGGGTTGCCTTCCCCAGCTTGGCCTTGCTGGTGGCAGCAGGTCCCCCCTCACCGGTGACAGGGAGCGAAGGTCTGCGGTGGGAGTGGCCCCTTTGCCAGCCTTGGTGCCGTGATCCTGAAAGAAGAGCAGATGGCACGTTGGCTCATGTTGGCATGGGGCAAACGTGGCAGGTGTCACCCTCCAAAGACACCCCCAGCAGGGCAGGGTCCCCCCAGCACAGCTGGCCCCGGTCACTCCCACAGGAGCAGAGGGACCGCAGGGGACAGTGGCTGCCCCTCCCTCGAGGGCCAGCCCCGCTTACTGAGGTCACCAGCGCTGTCTCTGTGGTGCCAGCCTGGGCAGTGGTGGTGGTGGTGGTGTCCCTGCTGCCCGGGGTGCCTCCGTCCACCTGCCAGGGCAAAGGAAACCAGGTGAGCCTGGAGGTGCCACCAGGGAGTGGGTGACGCTTGCAGGGACAATGTGGCCATATCCTGCTGCCAGAGGAAGCCATGGAGGGCAGTGAAGCTACAGCCAGCTGGTGGCTGTCACCCACTAGACATTCCTGTGTGCCAGCAGTGCCCAGCAGCATGGCAGGTGGGGCCAGGGACACTCAGACAATATCCCTGGCTGGGCTTGAGCTTGTGTTTTTTGAGGACTTCACCATGCCAAGGGTGAGCAGAGGCCCCCAGCCACCCCACAAAGCCATTGCCCTCCCAGAGCTGCTGCTGCCAGGGACTGGCTCTGGTGGGCTGAGGCTTTGGGGAGCCTCAGGGCTCAGGCTCTCTGGGGAGCCACCGTGTCACCTGGGCCGTGTCTGTGGTGCTGACCCGATGGGGAGTGGAGCCTTCTGCTTCGGGCTTCTTCACAGTCACAGCGTCTGCCTTTGGGGCTGAGGGCTGCAGGAGGAACAGCAGAGAGTCAGCAGAGCCTGGGGCACAATGCCAACAGCCCTGAGTGCTCTGTCCATGGCATGGCACTGGAAAGAGATGACCTTTAAAGTCCTTTCCAGCCCAGCCACTCTAATTCTGTGCTCCTTGTGCAGCAGCCCCTGGCAAAGCATCCCTGCCCTGCTCCTTCACAGGTGCCACACACACAATGTTCTGTGAGTGTCACATTGAGTCCTACCTGGGCAAACAGCAGGGCTGGGCTGCTGCCCTGGGCAGACAGGCACCACCCACAGTGCCCTGTGACCCACACACCCCAAATCAGCCCTGCTGCTCTGTCCTGGATTTTTTGGATAGATTATACACACCATGGATAAGGACAAACTGCTCTTCAAAAGCCAATTGAGAGCCACCAAACCAGTTTCATGCCTGTGCTGCAGTCATTTTGTGATCTGTACCAGCTTCTGGTGGCTCTGGGTACACCTGGGGTGTCAGAGCCTCGGGGGAATGGACACAGGCTGGCAGCACTGCCCTGCTGCAGGAAACTGGAGCTGCCAAGGGCTCCTGCATGGGGGATGCTTCACCAGTGCTCAGTATTCTCGAGCCAACAGCTCTGGAGTGGATCCCCCATGGTCACAGCCACACACCAGGGTTTCCAGGCTGGTTCAGAGACATCTCCCTCTTATTCTGCAGCTCTTTCCTGGCTTTAGGTCTGGACTAATCTCAGCAGCTCTGGCCAGCACTGGGGACTTACCTGCAGGGCTGGAGGCTGCCCTAGGTGGGTGGGCCAGAGAATGGCCCTGCCCAGCACAGAGACAAGGCCACCCAGAGCTGGGGCTGGTTCTGCTGTTCCGTCCCCATGAGTGCACTCAGCCCCACACACATGCACATGCAATTTTGTTAGCCCTGCTATGACCCCTCCCAGCACAGAGTGACCCTCCATGAGCTCCAGGGCGGTTCCACAAGGCCAGTCCCTCCCAGCCCCAGCATGACCAGAGAGGTTAGTGGGCAGCACATGGCTCTGCACTACACAGACTGGTCACTGAATTCATGCAGGACATGAGGACAGCTCTGATGGTTAGTGCCACGTGCCCTCCCTGCGGCGCACATGCTGCTGTGGGTTGTGCTGGGGCAGCCACACGCAGGGACACAGGTGACAGTGATTTCTCCTGGTTAGCAGATGCACCAAGCACGTGACAGAGCCATGCAACACAGACACAGCGTGCACTGGGCAGGAACGGGGGGTGGCAGCCAGCATGCTCCCCAAAACCAGCTGGGAGCACAACCCGCCAGGCAACGCGGGCACGAGGGACACGGAGGCACGATGGCATCGGGCTGGTCTCAGTGAATGGTGTCCCTGTGTACCTCTGGCTGGGAGACATCTGGGCTGGGCTGGGAGACCTTATCCCTGCCTTTGACATCCTCTTCCAGTCCGGGAACTACTTTGTCAGTGTGCTGGAAGGAAACCAGGCCTTCATCTTCTGTTTCGCTCTTGTCCTTGTCCAGCTCGGGCAGGCTGCGGGAGATGTCCTCAAAGGCTGTGCCGTGGAAGTCCCCGATGACGGTGAAGTCCACCTCCGCCTCCAGGCTGGAGGTTGAGCTGACGGTGATGCTGGAGCACTTGCGCTCGATGGCCAGGTGGTTGTCCTTCAGGAACACCGAGTCCTTCTCCTGGTCGGGCTCCTCGTCGCCGGTGTCGCTCTCGGGGGCCCTGTGCCGGGGCGGTTTCACCCTCTCCTCGGGGCCCTCCCTTGCCCCTGCTCTCTGAAGGAGACACAATCGTGGAGAGACGGGGCCGTGAGCACCGCGGGGCAGCGCCGGCGCGGACACGGCAGCAGCACGAGGAGGAGGAGGAGGAGGAAGGCTGCAGCAAACATCACAGAGTAGAGTCAAACACAACTCAAGCATGGAGACCAAAACCTGACAGCAGTGGCTTTGCCGGGGGAGAGAAGGCGACTCCATTGGATTGTGCCAAAAGTTTGTTGGCAATGAATCATCTCAAAAAGGCTCGGTCAGACAAAAAAAAAAGCTCGGCCAGCTTGGAGGCACTTCAGTGCACCGGTGAAAGCAGATGGATGCAAAACAATGGGTCTGACAGGAGACATTCAGAAAGAGCTCAGACGAAAGGCTATCGGATGTCAGTGGCTCAAAAAAAACAAACAAGGGAAAGAAAGAGAGAAGAGTTTGAAAGGAAAGGGCCCATCAGCCAGGCACGGTGAGGGAGAAGCAAAGGAAGGTGCCAATTCCACTGAGGAGGAGTGAGCCAATTCCACTGAGAATCCTGTGAAGCATCACCCTGGGGGGAGGTCCAGCCCAACAGCTGCCCCGGGATGAGTCTGCCCCACTGACACCACCTGCCCCTCCCGAGGCCTCAGGTGAGTCTCAGGGTGACCTGGTCAGTGTAATTGACAGCACGGCCAGAGCCAAGGGATGACCTCCGTCCATCCACTCTTCTCCAGACACGGACATACCTCTCAACTCTGCCATCGGAGGGGACGTGTCCCATTGCCACTTTGCCATGAAGCCATGGGAAATCTACACCCAGTTGTCCCTTAGGAACAGCTCTAAGCTCACCGATGCCAGAGGAAACCCCACCTCCTGGCCTCTGCTCCAGCCATTACAGCCAGGGGCATCCCCCATGGGCCGGGCCGTGCCGGCACATCCCTCCCCCGGCACTGTGGGAGGTTGAGAGGTATGGGCGAAACACAGGGTGTCCAGCAGCACCGGGGAACACGCCTGCAGACACGTGTGGGGGATGTGTCTGACCAATACATACAGAGAGCCCTGCAAGGGGAGCGGAGGGGCAGCACAGCCCTGGCCGCGGGGCGAGCGCTCACACTGCCGGGAGAAGCACTTAGCAAAACAGCACTGAGACCTGCGAGACCACTGGAACAGCAGCCTTTACATTCTCTTCTTTCAGGCTGGATTTTACTGATGGGTCACATAAATCCTTTTCTTCCCCACTTGGTTGCTGAGATTTGCTCTGGATTAGAGAAAAGGGTTAGTCGGAAGGAAATGAACTCTGCGGGAGCTGCTCTAGTGCTCACGAGAGCCAGGAAAGCTGCTCCCTCAGCCAGCCACCAGCTTGCTGAAGGCAGGGCAGGGTGGCAGCTAAGCAAGAAGGGGTAATCAACCAACGTAGGAAATGCAGGGGTGAAGCTGGAAGCGTGGGCACGCCGCTGCTGGGGCCGCGTGTCCGTGACAGTCCCAGCTCCTCCAGCCACCCCCCGGCGCCCTCTCCTGCTCCCGGCCACGGAGCTCGGGTGCCCCTCCTGGGTTCAGCATTCTCCAGGGAGCCAAAATGTTGGGGGGGCGCAAAACAAAAGCTGATGAACCGACTGGGCAGCGGCTGCGCATGCAGCCAGTGAAGCCTGACCACACACACAGACAGAGAGGACAGGGATGCAAAGCGCCTGCTGCCAGTCAATGGATGTGTGAGGAGCCACTGGACACGGGCAGAGCCACAGAACATGCGCACGAATGGCCCGTCCGGACGGCTCGGTGCAGTTACCACGGCCTCGGCCAGGGTGAGCTCACAGCCGGAGTCAGGCGAGGCCAGGTCGGCACTGTCTTCTTCGTGCTCGGGCTCAGCAGAGACTCCTTCCTTCAGGGACTGAGGCTGGGAGGTGCCTCCTGAACCGGCCCCTTGCCCGAGGGCCAAGGAGCCCACGCTGGACACAGGTCCCACTGCAGAGGGTGAGGCGAGGCCGGTGCTCAAAGGCAGATCCTGTGCCAGATCTGCCTTCCCCATGGCTGTCACCAATGTCTCAGCTTCAGGCACATGCTCCTGTCCCTCCTGAGCCGCCCTTTGCTCCGCTTCGCCTTGCTCAAACATCTTGATCTTGGAGGCCACGGAAGTTTCCCTGTAGCTCTTGCAGTCCTCCTTGCTTCCTGGGGCCAGGGCAGCATCCCCGTGCTCCTGGGCCACAGCTCCTGCCAGCCCAGCCATGCACACCGACACCCCAGGCTCTGCTGGATGTGTCTCACCACCTGATTGCCCTGTCCTGCCTTCACTCACCAGGGCAGAGAGCTGGGATGCCTCGCTTCCTTGGCACAATCCTGCTGCAGGGGACTGGAAGGGTGGGACATCAGCAGCTGCTCTGGGAGGAGAGTCATCCTGTGGTGGCTGTCCTGGCGCCAGGTCACTGTCCCTGGTGCTTTCTGGGACTGTCCAGCTCCCACCCTGCAGATCTTGTCCAACACTGAACTCCGAGTCCTGCTGTGGCTCTTGTGCTTTGGGATCTGCAGTGTGGAGGGGCGAGACCCTCAGGATTGTCTCAGTCTGGTGTTCTGCTTCTTCTCCCTTGGGGGGCAGCTCAGCCATGCCAAGGCTTTTGCCATGGGACAGTTCTTCCATCCCAGAGCCTTCATCTCTGGTCAGCTTCCCTGATCCTGAGCCCTGGAAGAGCTCTTTGATCATGGGCTTCTCTTCCTGCACTGGCTCTTCAGTGGCAGGCATGTTGCTCTGTGCTGTGTCCATGTCCTGGGCCACCTCCCTGGTGGCCAGGTCTCTAACCTGGATCGACTCTGCTGCAGTGTCTTTGTTTTGGGGTGGTTCTCCTGGAACAGGACTTTTCACCTCATGGGGTTTCCATGAGGCAAATCCCACATTTTGGGATTGCTCTTCAGCTTCAGGATTAGTGCCCATGGGTAGTGCCACGTCCATGGAGGGGCTCCCACGCTCGGGCATGGCCACCTCTCTGGCAGGGCTGGTGCCCAGGGACAGGTCTGTGCCCTGAGGCTCCGTACCTGGAGATGGCTCCACAGGGACTGGGCTGGGTTTCTGGGGAAGGGGTGGAGGGACAGGAGCACTGGGTTTGTCCCCCTCCAGCCCCGTGGTGTGAGTGTGGCCCTGCCAAGACCCAGCTGATGATGGAGGTGACTTGGGCTCTATCTCTTCCATCTGAAGAACCACTCTGGTACTTTCCTCCCTGTCACTGTCTGCTCCAACCCTTCCTGAGAGCCCCTCCAGTGCTGGGCAGATGTCTGGGGACTGTTCTGGGCTCCCTCTGTGCTCCTCAGCCCTGGGGCCATCCCCTGCCAGGCCACATGGCTTCAAGCCTCCCACCGAGCTCTGCAGCTCCATCTCCTCTGGTCCCACCTCCAGGGAACACAGCAGGGCTTCACTTCCCATGGGTGCTCCTCCAGGCACCCCAGCACCAGGTGCCTTCTCTGGCTCTTCCCACCCTGAGAGGGGATGTCCCTCCAGGCTGGTCCCAGCACAGCTCATCCCAGGTGGCTCTGGTGCTCCAGTGGGTTTTTCAGACACTGTCCTGTGCTGGTGACTTGCTGAGGAGAGGGCTTGGAGCCCTTCTGCCACAGGTGCAACATGCTGGGATCCCTCCCCAGATGTGTTTACTGGGGCTTCTGGTCTCTCCTCTGAGCCAAGCCATCCACCAGTGTCCAAGACCAGGTGTGCTTTACTGTCCTTCTCCTCCCCCTCTGGATCTCCTAAGTAGATGATCCTCTGGGTTGCAGAAGTCTCTGAACTGTCATCACCAGCCTTCACTTTAATTTTCAGGAGCTCTGGGGCCGTGGCTGCCATTCTGGCCTCCTGCTTCCTGAAGGCTGCACGGTCCTTGGAGAGCACCTCACCTTCTCCCTGGGGAAGCTCTGGCTCCAAAATCTTGGTTCTTTGCCTCTCTTCAGGCTGCTGACAGGGCTTGGGCAGCCCGGGCTCCCTGGTGGCTGCGCCTTTGCCCGGCTCTTGGGGCTCCCCCTCTGCACTCTCGGCGGGTGGATGTGCCTCCCCTGGGCTGGACTCACCCCTGCTTTCCTTCTCATAGAGCTCATCCTCCCACACAGACTCAAAATCCTCGGGACTAGCAATCATTTTGGCTCTCTTCCTCGTCTCCAAGGCTGCAGCTGCCGGCTCTTCCTGGCCTGCCACGTCCTTGGCTTTCCCTACCGTCACCACCACTTTGGTCAGGCTCCCCCTCGTGCTCCCCTCCGAGGTCCCTGCACGTGCTTCTTCCGTCTTGGCTCTCAGAGTTTTCCTCAGAGCTACAGCTTCCAGCCTAGGGGCTTCTCTCTCTATAAATACCCAGTGCTCCGAGCCCTGCATTGCAATTGGAGCAAGAAGAGTTAAACGCATCAGAACCCGGCCCCGAGTGCTGCTGGCACGACTGGCACAGCTGGTCAGCCTGGCACGGGGCTGGCTACATCATCATCATCATCATCATCATCACTGCCATTATTATTATTATTATTATTATTATTATTGTTGTTGTTATTGTTATTATTATTATTACTATTGTTCTTATCAAGGCCAGAGTTGAGGCTCTGTACAGAGCCCAGCCACCCACTGATGGGGAGAGGGGCTGGAAATTAGGGGCTGATGCCACACTGGGGACCAAGCCAGTGTCCTCTCTGGGGACAGTACTCTGCTCTGGGTGGTGGCTCCCTGACACACCTGCAATACCTGGGGCTCTGCTGGTGGCACAGAGTGGGAGTGGAGCTCCCAGCAGACATGAGAACACCACCAGGGTCTCTCTGGAAACAGAGGAACACAGCTGGCTGCTCCCTTGTTTTCAGCTGACTCTGGCAACTCCCAGGGGTGAGATTTCATTGGAAACAAGGCCCTGGGTTCAGGGTAGCTTCACTCTCAGCGTCATCCATGTGCCCTAAGAATTTGTCAGACTGCCAAGAGCACAAGCAGGGAAAGAAACCATTGCAAGCCAGCAGCAAGGCCCTGTCCCTTTCCTAGCAGATGCTGCAGCTCAGATTCCCAAAAAGGACATCCCTACTTTCCAGCTCACCAGGGACATCTCCTCAGAATCCAGCCATGCTGAAAACAAGTGTTCAGCAAGTGTCACCTGTGAAAGGCTCCCTGGGAAGTGTAAAAGACCACGGGCTCAGCAGCAGGACCAAGCAAAGGCCATGGAGCATCCTGCAGCACGGCCACAGCAGGAATGTCACCGTGCTGCTGGCAGGGGACACCAGGTCACTGCTGCCAGGGACACCTTGTACGTCCATGTGCTCATCCTGCACGTCAGCTGAAGGCCTCATGAGGGCCAAGAACAAAGCATTGCTAAAATCCAGCCACTTTTGGAACAGCAGGTAGGAAATAACTCATGGGAAGAGAGTTTCAGGAGAACATCTGCACCACGGGACAGCTCAGCCACCCCTAGCAGCACATGAGGGAGGGCAGTGCTGGGGCTCCCCGTGGGGCTGGCACTGCCCATGGCACAGCCTGCCTGGGCACAGCCTGCAGCAGGGGCAGGGATGGCCCTGGAGGGCACCAGGAGGTACTCCAGGCCCAGGGAGGGGCTGCCTGTCCGTGCCCCCTCCAGCCAGGAACCGTTGGAAACGTGAACCTCACCCCATGCAGGGCACTGGGGGAATGTCTGGAGCAGTTGCACCCAAAATGCAAACCTAGTGACTGATACTGGAGAAGGGGAAACGGGGGGCAGGGGGGAGCAGAGCCAGAGAGAGGGAAGGGAAGATAATATTAGAGAGAAAGAAAGGAGGAAAACCAGTTACTAGTGGAAGAGCTCCCACAAGGAAATGAGCAGTCAGTGAAAGCCCCCAGCAGAAGAATGCCATTCCCAGCTGCTGCTTTCTCTGCCAGGTGTCAAAGGAAGCAGAGCTCCCTCAGCAACAGTGATACAGGCCCTGCCCCTGCCCTCACTGCAGCCCCCCACCTGCCCCTGCCCCAGGCTCTGCCAAGATTCCCTCTGCTCCCAGAAGGGCAGGAAAGTACCAGCTCCTCACAGTGCCAGGACCTCCACAGGGATGGGATCAAGGGCACCCTCCTCCTCTGGTGCCAGAGGGATCCTTGGCAAGGACTCTGCCCTGGCCAGGCAGCCCCAGTGAGCAGCAGGGGCTGCAGGAGACCTGACCCCCAGCCCTCTCCAGCAGGAGCCTCTCCCACAGCCCCTTACCCTGCACCAGCTGCTCTCCAGCTCCCTTCCTCCACTCCTGCCTCCAGTGCAGCTTTTGTTCCTTCCCAGTCCATGGGAACAGAGCCCACCAGTGCCTGCCCTGGGGCTGTTCCCAGGTGGGTGTGACCCGTGGCAGCACCATCCCCCCTGCCAGGAGGCTCCCTGGGCAGCCCTCAGTCCCTCTGCCCTCCCTCCTGTCCAGCAGCCACGCTCAGCCAGGACACCGCTCACTTTCCTGAGGGTGCAGCAGCTTCTCTCCTGCTCCTGCCCTGCTGTCCCACTGCTGAAACCATTCTCAGCCAGGACAAGGATGGACAGCTTGTGGGAACATGTACAAATCTCCTCAGCAAAGCCCTCTCATCCCTCTTCTCTGGCTGCAAACCAGAGTTCTTCAGAGGAGATCTTCCCTGGGCAAAGGGGATGATTTTCTTCAGGCTCCTCTTCTGAGTTAAGGTCCAAGATAAATGTAGATCAAAAAGTCTGACCCCTGGAACATCTTCATCCATGACAGGACCTCTTCACCAGTCAGGAAAACCCCAAAGTTTCAGATTTATTCCCAAACCAGCTTCTTCCTTCTCCTCAGACTCTTGAGATGAGCACAGCCCAGCTGAAGGGACATCCAGCTCCTCCTTGGTGTGATGTGAACTCTGCTCTGGAGGGCTCTGGCCACAGCTCACAGCTCAGGGCAGCCCTTTTGAGTCCAGAGCCTGAGGGCTCTGGGGGATGCTTGGAGCAAATCTCTGGATCCTGGGGCACATCTCCCAGGGAAGCAGGAGCTCATGAGCTTTGGAGGTCAGTGGGCTGGAGGATGGAGCCACAGCAAAGCTGCCTCCGATGGGATGATGCTGGGGAGGCTCTGTCCAGAGAGCAGCCCTGACCTCCCAAGGGATAAGTGACTTTCACACTTCCTGCCCTCCCTCCCTCCCTCCCCATGCACCTGCTCTAGGGACAGGAGCAACTGGGAAGGCCATTCCCACTGTGGCCTAGGCAGTACAAGAGACAGAGAGGGAAGAGGAGAGCAGGGAGCAGAGACAGCCTCTGCCACAGCCTTGAAGAGCCCTAGGCACGTGGGGGGCTTCTCCCCTGGGCATCCTTCAGTGCCCCTGCTGCCCTTCTCTGCTCTGAGGGAGACCCAGCTCACCTGAGAGGAAAGCACAGCCTCAGGCAAGGATAATGGGGGAATCAGATGTTGGGACAGAACAACCCCAGATGTTGGGACAGAACAGGGGGCTGGAGAGGCCCCTGGCACTGCCCAGTCCAGCGTTCCTGTCCTCCAGCAGAGGGCTGGAAGTGACAGACCACCCACCCCAGTGGGCCTGCAGCCCATGGACACCAGGGGACCTTCTGGCAGTGATGAGAGCTCCAGGCTCTGCAGATGTGCTGTCCTTGTGCCAGCACCCCCTTGGGGCCATGACACTCTCAGGGAGACCCCAGGCTCTGGCCTCTGAGGATACATGGGGACATATCAGGGTTGAGTCTCAGTCACAGATGCCTGGAGAGAAACCACTGGTGAGGCACCTCAGCACCTGCACCCCAGCTCAGGCTGGGCACACCGAGGGCAAGACTGACTCAGGAGATGTGTGTGAACCTCACACCTGCTGTTTCTGTCCTCCAGCTCCCAAATACTGGAATGGGGAAGGTGCCAACATGGACCAGGAGATGCTGCTGCTCTGTTGAAGGTGCCATATCCTTGCTGAAGCCCAGGCTGTGCCCAAGCCCTCCCTGACCCCCATCCTGCCTCCTGGGGATTGCTTCAGCCAGCCCAGGTCCAGGCTCCTGCCCATGCTAGTGACTTCTGCATGGTCTAAGGGCCATCCACATGGAGCAAGAGTGTGCCCAGCCTGTCCCCCACCCCTCTGCCTCTCCCTGGGGTGCTCAGGCAGGACAAGTGTCCCAGCACCGCATGTCCCTGGGGCCAACCATGCCAGAACCAAGGCTCAAACCCCAGCCTGCTTTTGCTCAGTGAAGGCACCACTCCTGGCTGTCCCTCCCCTCCCTTGAGCTAAACCCACACACAGGGGGTGCTGGGAGCTCACACCCCTCACACTGATGGAGCATGATGTGCACAGGCATGGCTCCAAGGATGCCCTTTGTCAGGGTGCCTGGGCCTAGGGAACTCCAGCTGCAGCCAGGACAGCCTGAGGCTGCTGGAGCAGCCACCCAGGTGTCCAGGCCATCGGGTCACCCCTGCCTTGGCACTGGGCTCCAGCACGGCCCCACACCAGCACTGGGAACTCTCTCCAGGAACACAGAGTTCTGCAGGAAGAGCCAGGGGAGAGGTCTCACCAACAGCACTGTCCTGGGAGGGGTCCTGCCTATCACCAGAAAGGGCACCCACCCATGGGCAGCTCTGCTTAGAGGGCACAAAACCCCTCAGCAGGCTGGGGACCCCCATGGTGGGAGTGAGAGGTGGGGGAGAAAGGGGATGGTGACAACCTCAGGAGAGGAGACAAGGCTTTTCTGTGTGAAAGACTCCATGCTTAGGGAAGCTCCATGCCCAGATGCAAAATCCTCTAAGGTGTCCTCTTCCATCGTCTGTGCCAGCACGGAAACCCCAGCACCCACGGGGAGAGAGAGAGGGAGACAGAGACAGAGAGACAGAGACAAAGAGAGAGAGAGAGAAAGAGAGAGAGAGAAAGGGAGAATTTGAGAAGGAATGAAGGAACAAAGGGTGGGCAGGTGGGTGAGCAGATGAATGAATGGATGGAAGGATGGATAGATAGATGGACAGACGTCACAGCTGTGCCAGCTCTAGATGCTCCATTCACATCTCTGCACATATTCCATGGTAAAAGCAATGTGGGGGAAAGCCCCCCCTTCCTTTTCCCAGCTGAGTGCTTTGTGAGGGGCCACAGCCCCCCCTGCAGCCCCCATCTCCAGGCAGTGCTGGGGCCCACTGGGACCACAGGCACACCCCAAACTCCCCACAGAGCCCGTGCCCTCTCCATGACAGGGGGCAGCCAGGGCAGAGCAGCCCCAGGTGTGGCACCACCCACCCTCCTGGAGCCACTGCAGGCACTCCCCTGCTGTGGGCACAGCAGTGGCTCAGAGCCCCACCGAGGGACAGCAGGCAGGGAAGGTCCCTGGCAGGGACAGGGCATCCAGGCTGGCAGGGGGCACTCCTGTCACATGCTGCCTGCACTGAGCCCAGCAGGGACCCAGGCCACAGAGCCCAGCTGTGCCACATCCACACCCCTCCAGCACGGGGGGCTCTGTCCTGGCACCCCACTCTGGCGCTCTCCTGTTGCCCCCGTGGTCCCAGTGCAAAGCCAGTGTGCAGAATGCCCAGAAGGGAGGATGTGGCTGTGGGATGCCAGCGTGGCACCACTCATCTTCCACCTCCTCCCACTACCCAGGTTCCACTGCTGAGAGCACCACGGGGCACCCCTGCACAGGAGCCTGGTCCTGCTCTGCCTGGGACACCCCCGGGCAGGAGCTGCACTGGCCCTGCCCCACAGGCTGCTCCTGAAAAGAGCAAGCAAAACCCCACCCCATGGGCTACCAGAGCCACAGCCCATCTCTCTGGTAGCCCCAAAACCCCTCCAGACAAGGGCTGCTCAGTCTCCTGCAGTGCCCAGGGAGAAACCCCCACCAGCAGTAAAAATGGTCCAAAAACATAGAAACAACACCCCTGTCCCCAGCACGTCACTCCCACTAAGCTCCCTCAGGGCAGCACAGGAGCTGAAGGACTCCTCCCCAACGGATCCTGATCCTCTCTGGAAGAGAAGCAGCAGAACAAACCTCAGTGGCCTTTTCAGGGGTTCCCTTTGGTGTTTCATCCTCGTGCTTGGGTGAGGAAGAGGCTGGTGAGGAAGGCAGCCTCCTGTCCCGGTCCCTGTGAACCAGTTTGCTGTTGGGCTCCTTCAGGGTCCGCTTCAGCTCATTGATGCTGGCCTGGTGCTTCAGCAAAACGTCCTCTGGCTTGTCTAAAAACTTGGGAAGGAGAGAGGAAGAAAGCAATGGTTAAAGCAGCAGCCCAGTCCAAAGGGATGAGCAGGGGCATCAGGAGGGTTGGTGTCACACTGGGCTGGAATTGAGGGGCTCAGGAACCAAATGAGGAGCAGAATGGAGCACCATGGTCTGCAGGTCTCACTGTAGGACAGGGAGCAGCTCTTTCACTGCAGGTAGCAGCAGAATGTGGGTAGCAGGTGAAGGGCACAGCATGGCCTGGTGGCATCTCCAGGGCTCTGTGTCCTCCTGGCTGGGGACATGCTAAAGCTTCCTGGAGGGGAGAGCTGGCTCTCCCTTGGGACCAACAAGGAATGGGGCCCTGCTGGAAACACCAGCAGCCTCTGCTGTTGGCTGGTGCCAGGCACAAAGGGAGCCCAGGCTCTGTCTCAGAAAGGCATTTCCAGCAGAGCTCCCCCAGAGCAGGCTCTGACAAAGGGATGGAGGTCCAGGGCTGGGCAGGGATGTCCAGCATGGATCCAAGACTGGATCCCTGTGCATCAGCCCAGGGTGGGGTGGCTCTGATCTGCTGTGGAGAAAGGACAGCTCGGAGTGCTCAGGGAGAGGGGTCAGTGTCAGAGCGTGGCTCGGGGAGGGCATGGCGCCGGGGTGCCCCCTCATCCCGCCGCAGAGGTGGGCAAACCAGGAGGAACCCGGCTTCTGCCTCCAACCCAAACCCAAAGCTCTCCTGAGCTTCAAAAGGAGGGCCCCAAACACCTCCCCAGCACCTCCTCGGCAACAGAGCAGAGACCCATGAGAGTCCCAGGAAAAGCCCCACTGAATTTTCCAGACCAGAGGGCTCAGCAGAGCTCAAGAAAAGTCCCGCCCTGGCCCCGCATGCCCGAGCTGAGGGGGGCTCAGGTGTGCCCACCTCTGGGCTGGGCGCAGCACATGCACATGCAGTGGGCAAGCGATGAGGCGGGCGGGGTCGGGGCCGGTGCCCACCCCCGCTGGGGCTGCACGGGGAGCGTGGGCGTGCCGCCGGCGTGGCCAGCCCCATCCCCTGGCAGTGCTTGCTCCCATTGGCAGCTCTAGCTGGGATCTCTGCTTACAGAGGGGAATCCCCGGGGAGCCCCCCTGGATTTGAGGCCAGGATGAATCGTTCCTGATGGGGCCATCACAGGCACAATTTGTGCAGGGAGGGTTCAGCCTCTCTCTCTGCTCAGCCTCCCTCAGGGTGGGCAGGCACAGGGCTGGTGTGAGTGCTGGCCCCCCCAGGCAGCTCAGAGCCTCTTGGCCCCTGTGGGGTGGGATGGCAGCCACAGTGCTTGGGGAGCCCCAGCCCAGCTCTCCGGGGGCTGCATGAGAGCTGGGCAGGGGGGATGAGGCAGTTTGGGTCAGGCAGGAGCAGAGCATGGGTCGGGTGCCAGCAGGAGGATGGGACCAGCTCCACAGGAGAGGAGACACAAGGTGAGGACATGGCAGGGTCAGGAACACGAGCAGAAGCCAAGTCATCCCAATGGGCCAGGGCCTCTCCTGCCCTTGGGAGGGCTCTTGCTCACAGGCACGATCAGGACCACCTTACTTAGTGGGATAGAAGATGCCACAGCTGATGCCCAGCTGTCTGTTCCTCGGGCTCCTCCAGCACCCAACCCCCGGCCCGGTGCATCTTGTATTCCAGTAAATAGGGTGACAGACGGACTTGTTTTGGGAAGGATGGACAATATGATGCACCAATGAGGACTAAGATACTCCAGAGAGAGAATACCTCCTGCTTGTGCCTGGGGGTTGTTTCGTGCTCCGGCTGGCAGCAAAGAGAGGGTTAAAAGTAACCAGCAGGGTCAGTTGAGGGCACTTCTCACAAACACCACAGTTAAGTTGATAGGCTGGTAGGGACCCCCCCCTTCCCTCCCAGCATGGGGCTGAAATGGCTGGGACAGCCCAGGGACCAGGCCAGGACGGGGTGGGCTGTGCCCAGGCAGGTGCTCAGCCTGTCCCCATCCCTGTCCCAGAACTGGGCTGCTCCCAGGTCCAGCCCTGCCTGGACATGAGCCTTGAGACCACCTGGAAGGCTCTGGGGAATCCAAGTTAATCTGAACCCCTGTGACAGCTCCGCTTCCACTGGTGGGGCCAAGAGCCACATCCCCAGGGCCCCACCAGCCTGGGGCACAGCTGACACCCACAGGGCTGCAGGGACCCTGCCCTGAGGTGACCCTTCCTGCCTGCAGCCCAGCCCTGCTGCCTGTGCCCAGTCCCTGCCTGCCTACCCCTCCACCCCCACCCTCTTCTGCCCACCTCGGCTGTACCTTCAGCTCCTTGATCTTCGTCGGGGTGGTCACCTCCTCATCCTCCGTCTCAGAGCGTCTCCTGCTGCCAAACTCACCGTCCTCATCCTGCTTCTCCCCCTCAGGCCCGGCGTCGTGGTTCTCACTGACAGAGGCTGGGCGCGAGAACTCTGCCCATGGGGGACAGACGGGTCACCCCAGCCCTGCCGCCCTGCTCCTGCCCCAGCCCCCTGCCCCTGCCAGCTCTGCCGGCTGGGTCACTGCAGCCCTGCCACCCTGCTCCTGCCCCAGCCCTGCCACCCTGCTCCTGCCCCAGCCCTGCTGCCCTGCTCCTGCCCCAGCCCTGCCACCCTGCTCCTGCCCCAGCCCTGCCGCCCTGCTCCTGCCCCAGCCCCCTGCCCCTGCCAGCTCTGCCGGCTGGGTCACTGCAGCCCTGCCAATCTGCTCCTGCCCCAGCCCTGCCACCCTGCTCCTGCCCCAGCCCTGCTGCCCTGCTCCTACCCCAGCCCTGCTCCTGCCCCAGCCCTGCCACCCTGCTCCTGCCCCTGCCAGCTCTGCCAGCTGGGTCACTGCAGCCCTACCACCCTGCCCCAGCCCCAGACCTGACAGCTCACACCTGGGTCAGGTGATTCCAGGGGTCCCAGGGCACAGGGGAGGGAGTGATGTGTCCCTGAGCTGCCCGACCCCAGCCCTGCCGTGTCCCCCTGTTCATGCACAGACTGTGCTACCCCTAGGGGTGGGGACAGCCCCTGTGCCACACGGATGAGGCTGGGGACAGCCTCCAGAAGGAAGCCTGATGCTGCTGTGAGCCAGCCCAGCGAGGCGGGGCAGCGTCCCCTGTTGGTGCCAGAGCAGCAGTGTCCCCGTGTCCCCTGTACCTCCGTCCAGGCTGCGGGACATGGTGTAGCGTTTGCTGGAGGAGCGCTCGAAGAAGGGCGCGGGGCGGTCGATGAGGGCGCTGGCCTGGCGCGTCTGCGCCTGCGTGCGCCCGCTGTACCGAAACTTGGAGCCCATCACCAGGAAACCCTTGGGGGGTGGCTCTGGGGACACCAGCCTGGGGGTCACAGGGGTGGGACGGTGTCAGTGAGCCCCAGCCAGGCCCCCTGGCACTGCTCCCCACGTGCACCCACTGCAGCAGAAGCAGGAATGTGTCTGCCTCTGGGAAAAGAGGCCTGGAGAAGGTCTAGGGAAGGTGCCTCACCTGAAGAAGGTGTGATGCTCTATGCAGACCTTCCAGAGCCTCTTGGCTGAGCGGTGGTTGGGCAGCTTGAAGCCAATGGTGCTCTCAAACTGTTCGTACTTGGGGGAGACAGAGACAGGCTGTTACATGCACATCCTGCCCTGGGGGACACGCCAGGACCTTGCCAAGCTCCTCAGGTTCCCCTGGCAGGAGCTGTCACTGTGCAAAAGACCCTCAAAAATCTTATTCAAATTCATGCTGAGATGGTCCATGCCCAGCACCATACCCAGCAGAGTGATACACCCCACAGCTCTGCCCTAAGCACCTTCCTCAACTGTAAATGGCTTTTCGGTGCAAGAGAAATTCCCTCAAGAAACAAAAAGCTTTTACAGCTGTTTTGGTCTGAGGGCATCACTCCCAGGTGTGCTGCCCTTGCCCTCCAGCCTGCTGGAACACGTGGGTAGAAATGCATTTTCCTACCATAAATGAGTGGAAATAAAGTCTGAAAATGAATGAAAAAACCTTGTGAAGATGTGACAAAAATGGCCCTTAACCCCCATTCCTGGGCAAGCTCCCTATAGCAGCAGGGTCATGATGTCTGTCAGGAATGGAATCCTGGGGTCCCTCAGCTGTTAGAAGTCACAAGATAACACGAAAGAAAATCCATGCCACAGGAAATGTGCTCTCTTGGCCAGTATGGTCATAAATGTGGGATCCTTGGAGCAGAGGCCAGACCCAGGTGAGGAAATCCTCACCATCAGCTCCAATCCCTCAGGACTGGTACCCAGGGGCTGCACCAGCACCTGGCACCCACCTCCCCTGGGCGGATCTTGATGTAGAAGTTGCTTCTCTTGTAGGAAATCTTGAGGATCTTGGGCCAGGCGAAGCGGTTGATGCGCAGCCGGTCCCTGTAGATGAGGAGGCCGTTGGCACAGACGCCCAGCATGATGTCGATGCCCTCTGAGTCCTGGAGGAGACAAGGGGACAGGAGGGGACAGAAGAGGACAGGTCAGCAGCTCGGCAAGAGCCAGCCTGGCCAGCAGTGCCACATCCCTCCTGCAGAGTGCTGCAGGCCTGGCTGGCAGGGGGAACAGTGAACCCCAGGCTGGTGGAGTCTGATCTCTGGAGCTTCTCTGGTGCCACCCAAAGCCATGCCAGGAGCCTTCCCTGCAGGAGGAAGGTGGGGAGGAGCAGGCTGGGAAGGGGCAGCGCTCTGGCAGCCCCCAGCCCCGTACCTTAGCGTGGTGCAGGTCCACCCCATACATGGAGAGCTTCTTGGCATTCTCCAGGAAATGGATCTCTGCTTCCCCGGGGGTCATTCCCCTGCAGAGAGACACAGAGCGGGACACGTGGCTGGGCAGCCCAGGGCCGTGGGGCAGCTGTCCTGTCCGTGCTGTCCCCTCCCAGGGCTCACCGGTAGGTCTTGTGCAGCTCCATGATGCGCTCCTCCAGCTCCCGCGTCTGGTTGGGGGCAAAGCGCAGCTCACTGACGTAGTTGCCCACGTGCTCCTCGGTGTCGTGGTCCCCCAGCTCGGCCTGCACGGCGTAGGAGCCCAGCAGGGCGTGGGTGACAAAGGAGCAGGGCAGGCGGCCCGTGATGATGTCGGCACGGAGCTGCAGGCACAGGTAGTATCTGCAGGAGGGGCAGGCGGTCAGAGCGGGCCAGGGCACCCAGGAACCAATCTGGTGCCCCCCAGAGCAGGCTGGGGCTCTCCAGGAAGGAGACTTGTGCACCCCACAGCAGGCTGGGACTCCCTAGGAAGGAGGCCCATTGTCCTCACCTGGTGATGTCCTCTGTGAGCTGGGCAGGGTCTGGAGGGTAGAACTTCACAGTGAAGGCAAAGTTCCAGGGCCCGCCTGGGGAGGGGAGAGAGCAGTTCAGGACAGCACCCAAGGGGCTGCACACAGGGCACAGGAGCATCCGTGTGTCCACTGAGGATCCTGCTGCTCCTCCAAGCCTCGCACAGGGCAGGGAAAAGGGGGCTCTAGAGGCTGCCAGGGGCACAGCCCTTGGGACTCCAGCACAGCTTTTGGGGAAACCTCCCCAGAGAGCTGGGGACAGCAAAGCATCACAACTGCAGGAGCCACAAGCTCAGTGTCCCAGCAAAAGCCTCCTGTGTCCCAGAAGGTGACACCTTGGGCAACAGCTCTTCTGCCATGCCAAGGTAACACCATGGCAAATGCACCCCAGGACCCAGCAATGACCCCCACTCTCCCCACCATCCCTGTCCCCTCTGCACGGGGCAGGTGGTGCCCAGAGTGGCACCAAGTGTCAGACAGCTCTCCATGGCATAGAGTCCTTTGTCCCCTCGCCTCTCATGAGTAGAAAAGAGGTGGATAACAAACAGCTGAATGAGCAACAGTGTTCCTGTCCCCAGGCCAGCTGCCAAAGGTCCCCTCCAGGGCAGGAGGGGAGGTGACCTCCCACAGGACAGCCACACTGAGCCATCCAGGAACCCCATGGGACACCCCAGGGCTGAGGAGGATGGACCCTCCCCGGGCACTTACTGCGGATCTGCTTCTTGATCTCCTTGGAGGGGTCCAGCCAGTTCTGCAATGAGGAGACAGCAGGTCAGGGGGGTCCCCACCTTGGATGGGGGGGCTGCAGAGGGACCTCCCATGCTCACCTTCTGGCTGTCTGAATCGCAGAAGGTGAGGCCAAAGTAGTCCTTCTCCAGGAGGTTGAGGTGCTCGCACACCATGTCAAAGAGCACCTGGCCTCGGGCGTGTTTCTGTCAGAGACATGGACAGGCTGATGTCAGCTGGTCCCTTGGACTCCTGGACACCTTCCAGGTGACCATCAGAACATCCCCTCACCCAGCATGGGCTCCAGCACATCCCAGCCTTGCAGCCCCAGGATCACCTGTGTGTCCCTAAAGTGGTGCCAAAGGCTGTCCCCGGGCTGCAGAGATGGGGCACCACTGTGGGGACATCCCAGGGCTGCAGGGATGGGCTCCTGGTGGCAGTGGTGGCTGGATCCCCAAGCTCTGCATAACAAGAGCCACCAGGAGCCAGGAGCATGTGGAGTGATGGAGAGCACCCTTGGTGCAGCCACTGTCAGGTGTGTGTCCCCCCTGTCCCACCCTGCAGCCACTTCCAGGTGTGTGTCCCCTCTGTCCCATCCTGCAGCCACTGCCAGGTGTGTGTCCCCTCTGTCCCACCCTGCAGCCACTGCCAGGTGTGTGTCCCCTCTGTCCCATCCTGCAGCCACTGCCAGGTGTGTGTCCCCGCTGTCCCATCCTGCAGCCACTGCCAGGTGCCTGAACTGCCAGGCAGAGCTCTATCCCCAGCCATAAGCTTCTGACTTAGACACTGTTTTCTCTTATGAGTAGCTACCAAATTTGGTTTCACTGGGCTGATATCCCCTGCAAGGGTCTTTCTTTCCAGACTTTTAACTAATTTTGAAATTTCAACTTAAATGGCTATTTCTGTATGTGTTTTTCCCTAGGATAGAGGTACTACAAAGCTGTCCTAGGAAGAGTTCTGTCCTTCAGTCCTCTCTGGACTGGGCAGGGTCCCAGCAGTGTCCCTTCCTTGGTGCCCGCACAGGCCCCCAAATCTGGGACTCACCTCCACCTCGCACTCATATTCGGATGCATCGAGCAGGGTCACCCTGCACAGGGCACTCTTCACTTTCTTGGTGGTTTTCTGGGGTGACTTCTGGGTCTTGCTGGGAGTTGTTTTGTCAGAGAGCCCGTCGGTCTCGCTGTAGTCCTTGTCCTCCATGTCTGTGCCCTGGAGCAGGGACACACAGAGGGTGACCTGGCAGCCCTGCTGAGGGACACACGGGCAGAGGGGGAAGGCTCTGCACAGCAGAGTGGGGCAGCTGCTGATGGACAGTGCCCAGCCAAGGCCAGTTCCACCAACCCACACTGCCAGCATAGCCCAGCTCCTGGAAAACGGACACCGGGGGTCAGTTCAGCACCCAAATCTCCCTGGCCAACCACCAGGGCAGCAGCTCCGCTCCCCACAGCCCCACAGCCAACAGCGGCTGCAGCCGGGGCTCCCAGTCGGGCCCGGGGAGCTCAGTGGGGACACGGCACCGCTGCCCACAGCCATGGCGGGCCAGCAGGGCCGTTCCCAGCGCTGGCACACCATCGGCCTCACCATCATCCGCGGCCCGTCCCGCCTGCAGGAGCCGTGCGGGCAGCGGGGGCAGCGGCACAGCCCGGCCGGCCCCGCCTCAGGGGCTCCTCTGGGGCTGCCCCCGAGGGCCGGGCCCGCCTCACGGCACCACGGCCAGCAGCGAGCGGTGCCACGGCCTCTCCCGTGCTGCTCCTGCCCGTCCCTTCTCACGTTCCCCGGCCGACACCCACTCACCGGCTCCATGTTTCGGGTGTCCGGCTGTGCCCCGAGCTTCTCATTGGCGTCGGTGTCGCGGCCGGCGGGGCTGGGCGCGGCCGTGGGGCCCTGGGCGGCCGCCTCCAGCTGCTGCTGCGGAGCGTCCTCCTGCGCGTTCCTCACCTCAGAGCCCGGGCCTGTCTCCGTTGTCATGACCGCCGGTCACCGCGCTGTCACCGCCACCGGAGAGAGACAGTAGGTGTCACCCGGGGCTGGGGGATGCTGCCCGGGCAGCCGGCTGGGATGCCCTGGCTGCTCGGGGGAGGCTGGGACAGGCTTGGGATGTGCCCATCTCTGCCTCACACGGATCCGCTGCCAGAGCCCAATAATCCCTGTCCCTGCACAGATCCACTGCCAGAGCCCAATAATCCCTGTCCCTGCACAGATCCACTGCCAGACCACTGTCCCTGTCCCTGCACAGATCCACAGCCAGATCCCAGATCCCTGTCCCTGCACAGATCCACTGCCAGATCCCAGATCCCTGTCCATGCACAGATCCACTGCCAGAGCCCAATCCCTGTCCACTCAGATCCACTGCCAGAGCCCAATCAATCCCTGTCCATGCACAGATCCACTGCCAGACCCCAATCCCTGTCCATGCACAGATCCACTGCCAGATCCCAGATCCCTGTCCTTGCACAAATCCACTGCCAGATCCCAGATCCCTGTCCTTGCACAGATCCACTGCCAGAGCCCAGATCCCTGTCTGTGCCAAGTGCTGGCTTTCCAAAGGGCTGGTGGCAGCAGCACAGGACACCAGGATTTCAAACTCTGAGCTGGAGGACAAGAGCCAGCAGTGGGGAGGGACATCAGTGACAGGGATCCACCATGGACAGGGATGCACCTGGTCTTGCAGAGCTGCTCTGACCCCCTGCTCCCACACCCCTGCACCGGCTGGAACCTTCCCTCGCTGTTTTCTAGGAGTGGGAGGCAAAGACAGGCTGTGAGTCAGGGAAGGGCTGCAGTGACACAGGAAATGGCAGACACGGACAGTGCACAGCTCGCATCCGGGCTGGCTGCTTTGCTCCCCGCCGGCCACCCCAGCAGCAGCAGCAGCACGCTGGGTTCCCACGGCCAGCCTGGGACCCTGTGGATTCCTGCCTCCAACCCCAGCTGCCTGAAAAACAAACCCAGGGCCAGGAACAGGGAGGGGAAGGCACTTTCCATGCCAGGATGCTCAGCAGTGTGTTTTTGGAACCTTTATGGTTTTGAAACATTTTATGCCAACAGAGCATGGGCTAGCAAGGTGTCCTGGGAGGGTCCACACTCCACAGGTCATTGAGCACCCTTTGGACTATCACCCACTCTCCACTCAGGCTGCTCAGGCCCTGCCAGCTCCCCACTAGGCCATGTCCAGCTGTGCAGCACCTGCTGGGATCATCCCCACCTGAGTCCAAGGGCTGTGGCTGCACAAGGTGGCTCAGTTGGAGCATCTGTGACCCTGTGGTCACATCACCCCCCTGCCCACGGAGCAGCCACACCAGCAGCCCTGAGTAATGCCTGCAGATCCTGTTCCAATTCCAAACCCTGCCCTGGGCAGGGAGACCTTCCACTATCCCAGGGTGCTCCAAACCCTGCCCAACCTGGCCTTGGACACTTCCAGAGATCCAGGGGCAGCCCCAGCTGCTCTGGGCCCCCTGTGCCAGGGCCTCGGCACCCTCACAGGGAAAATCTTCTCCCCAGTATCCCACCTAACTCTGCCCTCTGGCAGTGGGAAGCCATTCCCCCTTGTCCTGTCCCTCCATCCCGTGTCCCCAGTCCCTCTCCAGCTCTCCTGGAGCCCCTTTAGGCACTGGAACAGGCTCCAAGGTCTCCCTGGAGCCTCCTCTCCTCCAGGTGAGCACCCTCAGCTCTTCCAGCCTGTCCCAGAGCAGAGGGGCTCCAGCCCTTGGAGCATCTCTGTGGCCTCTCCTGGACTCACTGCAGCAGCTCCACATCCTGCTGATGTTGGGTCCCCAGGGCTGGGGCAGCTCTGCAGGTGGGGTCTCACCAGGGTGGGCAGAGGGGCAGAATCCCCCCCTCACCTCTGCCCATGCTGTGGGATCAGCCCAGGGCAGGGTTGGTTTCTGGGCTGCCAGTGCCCATGGCCAGGTCACATCCAGTTTGTCACCAGCAGCACCCCCAAGTCCTTCTCCCAGGGCTGCTCCCCACCCAGCCAGCCCCAGCCTGTGCTGGTGCTGCCCTGACCCAGGTGCAGGACCTTGCCCTTGGCCTGGCTGAGCTCCATGAGGTTCACCTGAGCTCCTCCAGCCTGCCCAGGACCCTCTGGGTGCCCCATCCCTGGTAGATCTGGATCCACTGCACAGCTCAGGCTCAGCTCAGTGTCACTGAGACTCACAAAGAAACCCATCCCACACCACAGCTCCTGTCCCACTGCTGCCCTTCAGGTGTCCTCAGCCGTGGGAAGATGTGAAACCTTCCCAGGAAAATGACTAAAACTGGCTCTGGGGGTGGAGGGAACGGAGAGGAGGTGATGGAGAAGACAGGGAGTCAAGCCTACGCCTTCCGCCGGATTCGCAGCCAGGAGATCCCGGGAACGTTCCCCTCCCGTGCCTGCGCTGCTGGGTGCTCACCAAGGGGCCTCAGCTCACAGCCAGATCCCAGGATGTCACCCCCTTGTGCCACAGCCATGTTCTCCTGGCCATGACAGGCCAGACAGCCTGCCCTGAGCAGCATCAGCTCCTCCTGACAGACCCCACCGCTCGGCCAAGGCCACCAGGAGCTTCCAGAGGTCACTGCTGGTTTGTTTTTTTCACAGAGGAAACAGAGCTGCTTTTTTCCACTGCAAATTCAAGCAGTTGCTCGCTCCAAGCCCTGGTCCCTGTGTGGATCATTCCCAAGCACTTCCGTTTGGATCTCAGTGTGTGAATTTTTAATCAACACAAATCTCTAAAATGACAACGCATCACTTTGGGCCAAATACATGCTGAGTTTTTCACTTGACATTTCTAAACTTTCTTCCAAACTACTTTTCCCCTGCAGTGATCCCTGGAGGAAATGAGGGGTTTTTTAAGTGTAGTAAGCTTTGAATTCATCCCATCTCACTTCTGCACCTTGAGCTCCAGTTCCCATCTTCTGATGGTGCACCAGGAACCTGATCCCAGGGACTGCCTTCCAGCTGAAGCCAGTGAGAGCATGGCACAGCAGTGCCAGGGGTGGCAGAGCTCTGCTAAGGGAGCCTTGCAAATCCCCAGGGACCATGTCCTTGCTCCCAGGCAGGGAATCCCTCAGTCTCTGGCCTTGCAGCCATGCTGGGGAGGCTCTGCTCCTACACAGGGTCATTGCTGGGGGCCTGGAGCTGTTAGAGGGAGCCAGGCTGGCAGGGCCAGTGGCTGCAGGCACGGCCCCGCTGCAGCTGAGCCCTGCAGCTGCACAGCCCTGACGGAGGGACCACGCTGGCACTGCCACACTCCCGGGCACAGCCACAAGGGCTGCATTCAGGAGCTGTTCCCAGCCCACCCTGGGGCTGAGTGGGAAGGCCGGGGCTCCTCCAGCACTGCCACTCACCCCAGTGCTGCTGCAGCCCAGGGTCAGCCCCAGCCTGGCAGCACCAAGCCCCTGGGGACAGTGGCGCCTGCTGGGGGACACTGCCACCCTCCATGGCAGCCTGGTCACCTGCACTCACCTGCACCCAGGGCTGTGGGAGAGGGACACCAAGGCTCACATGAGCAGCAGCACCCTCTGTGCCCATCTGGGGGTGCTCAGCACCCTGGGGGCACCTGCAGGCTCTGCAGGGACCTGAGCACACTCATGGTGAAACCTGTCCCAGCCCCCTGTCCCTCTTTTATCCCATGGCCTCCCCATGGCCCTCAAGAACTGCAGAGGGAGATGTTGCCCTGGGAGCAGCTCTGTGCCATGGGCAGGAGCTGTCCCTGATGGGAGAGGGCAGCACAGCACAGACAGGGAGCAGCAGCCATGGAGCCCTGCCCATCCCAAGCACCTTCCCTGTGCAAACTCAGCTCCTGCTGTCCCAGCAGAGACCCCAGAGTGGAGGCCATGGGTTCAGAAAGGACACAGGTCCCAGAGTGGTGCCAAAGGGACAATTCCACTGAAATATCTGCTGTTACTAACCTGTAAAAGAGGTTACACAACTACAGTGAACTCGATGGAGTTCTAAAGTTATTTCTTCCTAAATACTTCCTACAGCAGAAGCAGGCCCTCACCCCTGTGGGCACCAGCCCTCCCAGCACTCAGCCTTGCCCATGCCGGTCCCACTGGAGCAAATCCTGTGCTGAGGCTGTTGGAGGCAGTGGGCACAAACCCCCAGAGCCTGCCCTGTGCAGGCAGTGGCCAAAGGGCTCCTCCTGGCACCCACAGGCCCTGGTGCACCATGCCTGGTTTTCAGCAAGGGCGAGTTTTCAGCACAAAGCCAGTTTCCATCAAGGGCTGGCTCGATGCAGCTGCAGCTGGAGCCCAGGACCGGGGGATGCTCCCTCAGGGGACAGGGCTGGAGCCGGATGGAGCTCCAGGCTACGGGAACAGGCACGTGGGAACGGTGACTGCAAAGGAAGCCTCAGCAGGATCACAGGCAGACCTGCTTGTCATGCCTGGAATCTCCTCCCATCATCTCCCTGCCTGCTCCTCCTCCCCTTGGTGTTTTCCTCCTCCTTCCCCTTCAAGCTGGAGTGTGGATTTCCCAGCTGCTTTGCCCCAGCACTTTCCCAGCATCTCCCAGCTCCAGCCGCTGCAGCGCTCCTCTGGCAGAGCCTTCCCTTCCCCTCCCTGCAGGCTGCTCCCCCTCCCTGCCCAGTCACTCCCAGCTCCCGCGCTGCTCTCCAGGGCTGAGCATCCCCCTTTGCTCCCGGGCTGCCCCTAACGCCCCTCGCTCCCTGCGGAGGCTCTGCCCATCCGCGAGGCTTCACCTCCGGAGCCCCTCGGTCCCAGGCAGGCAGCAGCCCCTGCTGAGTGCCCAAGCGGGGCTCCAGCTCGGGTGGGGAGCACAGGGGTGGGTGACCACCCAGTGACCTCCTCCCCCACCCCTGCCGAGTGGGGCTGATGGTGGCAGCAAAGCCCCATCACATTGTGGGGTCACACTGGGGACAGATGCTGCCACAGAGACACACGGACATGGGGGTACCCTGCGGGGGTGGCAGTGGCTGCAGGGCACGGGGCAGGGGCCAGGCACCTGCCAGCCCCAGGCAGAACAGAGATGCTC